AGTGCAGAAAAGAATGGAAAAAGAAAGAAAAGGTGTTGACTTCCGACTTCCTTTGGTGCAATAAAATAAGATAGTAACATCAAACCACAACTCTTTACTTTACATGATAGTATAAACTAGCCATTTCTATATTAACAAATCTTTCTAATCAGTAAAACCCAAAATCAAAGTTTCATTTTTTCCACAAGCACTGAAGTCTAGAAGCGGTTTCCAAGTAGAAACAAAAGTACTTATGTTTTTTTTTCTTTTATCAAAACAGTCAATTTAGCCATTTCTGTTAACTCCATTTATATGCATTATTATCAAAGGGTACTGTTGAAAGAAAAATAATCAGGTCCAGTTCCAAGCTGGGAGTAAATAAAATGGAGGCTAAGATGCTGGAAATAAAATGGAGACTAGCTGTTTGGAAAGAAGGTTTTAATGATGAGCAGAACCAGCAACAGCATGCAGTTCTGGGACAGCTGACCAAATGAAGTTGAGAGTGGGTGGATCTATATAGGCCTCTGAGACTTCGAAATAGAAATGTTTCTGGGATGTGCAATGAGGTGGGCTTTTGTGTCTTTTACTAGTCTAATGGTAGTGGGTTAATCCTGTTATGTCCTAAAGGTCATGTCCTGTCCTTGGAGCTGGGTGGAGGAATGCAAATTCTTAATCCCATCAGTTGTAGGGGCTAAAGGCTTTTGCTTATGAATACTGTGCCCCAGTCCTTCTGAATGGATTACCAAATCTGCATTTCTAAAGAGTGACCTCCTCAGGTTTCTGCCTCAGGAAAGGGAGACTGGGCCCTTTTTCTGCTTAAAAATTTATCTCCATTTCTCCTTCAGGGTAAATATTCTATCCTGCCTCTTTTAATATTTCATTCTCTGGGGGAGGGGGTGCTGACTTCCCACAATACCTTGGCAGAGATGCTGTGTTTCTTAGAAAACTAAACTATTGTATCATTTTGAGTTACGTTAGTGGAAATTAATAGTTATTTCCTTTGTGTAAACTTATTTTGAACTTAAACACACACCAAAAGCATAGAACCATCTTAGTACCCAATTTAAGCATTGGTTTTGTTTTTATTTTTCTCTCATACTTTATTGTCCTACTTCAATATTTTTGTTCGTAAAGTGCAAAATACAGTACTTGAGAAGGTTGAAGATTTTTAAAAAGTTAAGCATTTTTTTTACTACACTGTAAAGATATAGGAAAAAATGACAACAGTGACGTTTTTTGACTAAGACAATTTTACTACCCATAACATCTTTCATCACACCCAAGCAGCAAGCTAGTGTAGGGAGCTTAGAGCAAGTACGTAGTTTCTCCTGCTCTTCTCTTTAACAGAGAAGAAGAGGTAGAGAGCTCAGGAGAAACAGCCTTAGAGGGCTTTGCTATTTCTGCCCTCAAGCATCAGTTGCCTGAAGGTTTGGCTGACTCTGCCTAATTGTAGGGGCAGTCCCAAACAGTAAATCAAGTCATTTATCAAATTTTGAAAATATTGGGCTTTTTTTTCCTCTCCCTATGAAATAGAAAAAGAAGTAATCACATTTTATCTGTTTGACTTTTAAAGTTGTTTTTAATTGTTCTAATGTTCTTTTAAACTGCCAATAAATGTATGGTTGATTTCTGTTTTTATATATTAAATTATAGCCAATTAGTTATGTAATAGCTTTTCAATTTACATGAAAAGATTGACAGAAAATTTTTGTGGAGATCAAATAGAGAAGCTCAAAGCAGACTGTGTTTTGAGACAGTGCCTCGATTCAGCCACCTTCTTCTTTTTCTTTGCATTTTATTGGAAAAACTTATCTTTGCAAGACAGCAGCTTTGTTTAGGGAACAAATTAGAAAAATGCTTGATCTGTTTCCTCAGTGATCACATTTTCACTGTAGACACAGGAAGTCTTGCACAGTGCAAAGACAGTTGACAGAAGCAAAATTGTTAATCAGTTGCTGCAGAAATTAAAGGATGTTAAAAGCAGGAGAAAGATGCCATCTGAAATAAAAAATGTTCACCAAAAGATGCTCATTAGAACAACAAATAGTTGTACAATAGAATGGATCAAATAGACAAAAAATTGTGTGAACCATGAAAGCAAAATGCAGTGATTTTATTATGAAGATTTGGGGTGCCGGGATCCTTCTCACTATTATGATCACCATGGCAGTATCTGGTAAGTTCACTATGTTAAAGTAAGTAAAGATGTTTCCTTTCCATGGAACATTTGCTTCTGTTTTACAAAGGAGAAGATATATTTAAACAATTTTTAAAGAAAGAATATTTTGTAAGTAGTTGTCAGCACCTACATTCCTAAAGCAATGGTTCTTGCTTTATCATGTTGAAAGTTAAGTGGCATTATATGTGTGTGTTTATATTATAACCTGAAGAATAACAGTTAGAAGCAGTGAGAAAAACGGTAAGAACAATGGATAATCTAGGCTATAGTAATATATGTACTTAGTAATTTATTTTATTTCTTTATTATTTTTATATTATTGTCGGTTTATGTTTTTATTCCATAATTCTTCCAAAATTCAGGGTTGCACATATTGTTTTTTGTTCACATATTTTATATCCACAGCCATCCAGACTATGTTAATAGATGGAAAATGGCCAGCTCATGCTATGAACTTTACAGTGAGTAACTAAAAAGTATCACCTTAGTTCTAATCTAAACACTATGCCATATTGACTTTGCATCACTATGTATACGTGCACAATGATGCATGACGTTTTAATGTGAAAACTACAATGTCCAGTGGAATGATTCTGGAAGCCACTTTCAAATTTGACCTTAGTGAATAAGGTGCTTTGTTTAATACATTTTTAATGCTATTTGCCAAATCAATAAATTATTCAGTTTTGTAGATATTACAGTAAAGACTATAAATTTATGCTTTCGTATTATGACTCTTTATCAAGCTATCCCTATAAGGAGAAATTGTTCAAAAGAGTATGATATTTTGCAAACATTTTATTTAGATCAAAAATGTTCTTCAAGGGGTGCTACTCTGCTTGTAGGAGATAATGCAAAATGTATTAATTCAGTATGTCAAGCATGCTGTTATATGTCAAATCATTTGTTTCCTTTGTTAAAACATTGATTGAGCCAACCCATGCTATGGAAAAAAAACAGGAATAATGGAACAACAAAATTGAAAGAGACCCTGGAAATCTTGTAGTCCAACTTGCTTTTAAATTTATTTATTGATAAATGTACAAAGAATGTTTTTGAAAATGTTAAGAGAGTATTTATTGAATATGTAGACCAACAAATTATTCCAATGCCTGATGGCTTACAAACAAAATAATACACAATAAAAAACATCCTTCATAGGCAAAATCAAATAATAAAAGAACTGTGATTAAAAAAAAAGAAACCATGCCCCAGTCTTTATAATACTAGAGCCCCAAAGAACTAAAAAAGCCCTAAATTAATAGTAACAATAAAAATGAAAAACCTGTAATTAAAAAGGGGTGACAATAAAGGATTGTGTCCCATAGATGCTCTGGATAAATTTAGCTTTTGGTAGTTTTTGGAAGGCTATTACAAAAGGCAGCATTCTAACTTCTGGACAGAGGTTACATCACTGAAAAACAATACTTTCTAGCCACAGCTGTCCTGACATCATGAAAATGAATTTGTGTATTCCCTTATATGAAGATGATATGTGAGTTACCTAAATACTTCAATGATATTCAGGAAATGTTAGACACATAATATAATGCCACAAACATGAATCTGAAAATTAATGCATCAAAGGCAGTTGTCTTTGACAGGAAATGTGAAATGAAACTTGGAAGTTATATATAAATGGTGAAAAATTAGTTGTGTAGTAAAACTAGAAATTATAATATCATAAATAAATGTGTGCTGAATGATGCAAAAGTGAGTGACTGGTGCAAAAGAAGTACATTCAAGTGGTTTGGATATATAGAGGGATTGAATGACAATTGGACTTGAAAGCAAACAAATGAGGGAAGGATAAATGGATTGAGAAAAAGGGCTGATAGAGAAAATCGTGGTTGAGTAGAGTTGGTGAGACCCTCAGAAAAAGAGGAGTGAGAATAAAATGTATAAAATGGTAGTGGATGAATCAATATGGTAGAAGAAAGATTCGCAGGCGTAAAAAAATGGAGAGAAGTATATTGAATGGTTTAATGTAAATTCAGTTTAATTTGATTTCTGTTTCTTTTTAAATTCTCTTTTTAGTGCTTTTAATATTTTTCTATGCTTTGCATAATGTAGTTTATTCTGAAAGGGTATAACGCATTGGGTTCTCAGAGGTCACTGGAAGATTAGGCCATTTGTTAACTATTGTCTTTAATGTGTTGCTAGGCACTCAAAGTTACATTTGTTAAATGGGCAGCCATATAAATCAATTTAACAAACAAGCGAATAAATAGTGGCCTGTTGGTACTCTTTTGTGAGTAAATCTTTCTAAGCTAATAATGAAATCATCTTTTAAAGGTGGATATTATCAGGCCAAGTTAGTCTGCAACGTCTTCCTTATCTCCTGCTTACCTATAATGACATTTCTATATCTTTCCAGATAAATCCAGTAAATATGCAATGCTTGGAACAACCATTAAATTGGACTGTCCTGCAGAAAGATATAATTTGACAGTATGGCTGGTGAACTTTGAAAATGGAACGTATTGCCATTTATCATTTAAGAGAGAGAACAATTCCATAGCCAGAAACTGCAGTATGAACATGGATTGGGTATCTAGACCGGAAGAAAATTCTGCTGTTCAGATAAAATCATTTCAAATGTTCAATGAAGGAATATATAGATGTTTCATTGCTACTGCTAAAGGAATGTTAAACAATGAATATGAACTATCTCTATCAGGTAAGAAACAACATATTTAAAATCACCATTTTGGATTCTTACAGTCAGAACTGTTCTTTTTTCCAAACATTTATATCATTTTTCAGGTGATATCTCAAAACAGTTTATAATATTAAAATGCAAACTTATAAAATATAGTTTCGTGATTAATGCATTTGTTCTGCTTTTACTTGTTCTTGTAATATCTGTTTCATTAATGAGCTTAAGGTACAGAGGTACCTTCAGCATTATTAATCTAAGATTGCACCTATTATAGTAGGCTTCCCTCAGGTATTTCAATGTAGCAATGCATTATTTACATTTATTGCTAATATTTGCAGGCATTTCCAGACACTTTCTAGGAAACTTTTCCCATCTTTCTGCTTTCAGAAGTGGGGAGCAGTAAGTGCAAATTGTTATGGAGTATCAGCCACCTTTACTCTGAATTTTTATCTTCATTTAAAGACCTGGCAAAATGTAGGAATTGCTAATATTTGAGAAGGAATTTGAAGCTCCATCTTCCATATTTTTCAAATACCAACATATTATATATGCAATATTCCTATAACTCATCAACAGATCTCGCTGTTTCATTCCAATTTCTATAGGTGTTCTTAGAATACTTTAGTACAGCATGTATTCAGTAGAATATGGGATCATAAAGCATTTATATTTATCAGTCCATCATTTCCTGGAGTAAGGCTAGACCTCACAATTTTTTTCCTTTCATTGGGTTAACTGCTCATGCAATGCTCACACATGGAACATTTGGCAAAATTTCCAACCCATCTTTCCTGATGCTTTTTTTTTTCAAAAATAGGGGGAGAGACTTTCCGTGATGGTTTTTATGAGCAATAGAGCAATTTTATTATCAGCACTGTGCAACTGACTAAGGGGGAATTAACACAGGATTGACCGATGATTAATTTGTGAGATTTGTGTTGCAAGAATGGAAAACTTGTTAGGAGGGGGTGGAAAGGAGGGAGGGATCGCCTACTTTTTTTTGTACTCAAAGACAGAAAATTAAGCTAAGAAAAGAAAAACTCATCCAAAATTAAATACATTATGTGGCAGTAACCTGAGTGTATATATTATCCATTGCTCAAATACATGCTTTTTTCTAGTGACCTCTACTTCTCAAGGTTATTTGGTGCATTCCTTTTGTTTACAATGTAAACATGGGTATTTTCCTGTTTTATCTATCATATGCCTACTGATTAGCAAAAGTGATTGGAAATCTGATAGCAAGATGCCTCTTAGACTAACTTGGTCTAACTTGGTGCTAGCTTGGTAAATGTAATTAATTATTTCTTATATGTCCCATTTCATTTTAGTGTCTCCACAAGTGTCCTTGACTCAGACCAATGGCACCGTTGTGTGCAAGGCAGCTGCAGGAAAACCAGCTGCAGGGATATCCTGGAATCCACCAGGAGACTCTCAAAATATGACAGAAATATTGGCAAATGGCACAAAGACCGTCATCAGTACATATTATATGAAAAATGTTAACGAAGATAAGCTTACGTGCCTGATCTCCCATCCTACTGGGGGAAAGTCACTTAACTTAACTGTACTAGGTAACTTTAAGCATTTAATCATCAGTTTCACTTGCCAAGTCACATTCAGTTGATACTAATCTGGAGGTCTCTGTTCTTTGTTGGTATTTTAAATAAGTGAATAATCAGTAATATATCAGGTTGTCTATGTAGCTGAGTGCTATTTACTCTGATGGACAAAGCTTTTTAGGGTCTTTCCTATCATCACATATGGTCTACTGATGGACGATGGTTCTTCCCTAACTGGACTGATCCTCCTTCAATCATTCTTGCATGTTAATAAAACAGATTTCCATCTTTCTTTAATTATTTTTATGTTAATTGCTTAAGTAATGGGAATTGGGGAAAGGCTGTGCTTATTATTAAACTATTGATGTTGGTACTAGTTACAAAGTACTAGTTATTTCAAAAATTAAGTTAGAACTAGCAATGAATGCTCTTAATACTAGAAGGAAAGTACTGTTTAATATTTTCTTCTTCTAACAATGAGGGTGGCTCATGATCCCCTCTCTGCCTAAAATGCACAGTCTGAAAATAACAGTTACAAGGGCAATTCAGAAATAAACCTCCGTTTGAGCATATGTGAGAAATAGGCGGGGATAGCGACGCCTGTACTATGGCACCATGCGCAGTAGTTCAGTAGGCAGTGAGGAGTGGAAGGAGAAGGTTGTGTTGCAGTTGACTCATCTGCTAGATCAATTGAAAATGAACCCTGCCATAGAAGATCCTGCCAAATGTGAAGTGCGTGCAGTCATACACACTCAACAAAGAAACCCCAAAAAGCTCAGCAAACATTATCTGCCAGAAAGGTTATGGTAACAGTATTCTGGGGTGCCAAGGGAGTACTGCTCGTGAAATTCATGGAGTGTGGTTTGACCATCAGTTCAGAAGTCTACTGTGAAATGTTACGAAAACTCAGATGAGCCATCTATAACAAGCGTCGGGGCATGCTGACTTCCGGTGTGGTGTTGGTTCACGATAATTCTCGCCTGCACACCGCTAGACACACCCAAGAACTTTTGAAGCAGTTCCGTTGGGATGTTTTTGATCACTCCCCCCCCATAGTCCAGATTTGACACCAAGTGATTACCACCTCTTCAGGCACATAAAACAGTGGCTTGCGTCGCACCGCTTCGACAATGACAATGTGCTTCACGATGCTGTTACAGGGTGGCTTCATTCCCAGGCGGGAGATTTTTTTGCAGAAGGAATTTCAAACCTTATAAGATGTTATGACAAATGCCTCAATTTGAATGGCGATTATGTCAAAAAGTAATGTAACATTATAGTTTTCTAATGTGTATAATAAAAGTTCTGTATCTGCGAGTGTCTGTCATTGATAACCAAACAGAGGTTTATTTCCGAATTGCCCTTGTATTTCTGTGGAAAGATTGGATATTTACATTCCTATTAATATTTATTTCTATGACTACTTACAGTTTAAAGCAATAAAAGATTTCACAATGAATACAAAGTATTGGCTGGCTTTGGACACAAACTCTTAAATGACCTTTTTAAGTAGAAAGTATGAATCTACCTAGGAACATATCTAAATTGTGACCAGCCATTCTACTTTCTGACACTTTTTTGCTAATTTAACATATTAAGACTATAACCTCTCCTAATTATTATTTGTCACAAATTCTCAGATAGCAATGAAGAAAAGGAAAGTTCTACCATGATAATTCTCTATAGCTGTCTTACTGGTCTTTTGGGAATACTTGGATTTTCACTTTCCATCTATCTCTGGAGGTTCTGTGGAAGGTATGTATACCAAGTTTTAACTTAAATCATGTCATGGTTCTTTCATTATTTATCAGAGTTGGCCACAGCAACATTTGTGGGGGTAGAGGCATTGGCAAAATGGCAGGCAGGACATTGCAATACAAACCCCCTCCCTTAAAACCCACAAAAAGGGGCGGGGCTTGCATCATGTCACTCTGCCTGCCCTTCCCCATCTCCCTTGCAGACACTGCTGGAACACCAGGAGCATCAGCTCAATGTACTAGTGCAGCAGTGAAACCCTTGCACTTTGAATGCTGCAGTGTTGCTTGTGCAATAAAATGTAAAATGAGGGGAAAAGCAAAAGGGGAGAGAATTATGTGAGAATGATGGTAATTCTAGGACTCAGAACCACGAAGGAAGTGGTAAATTGTCCCTTCATTTTAACTCTGCAACCCTTGCATCTTATGTGGAAAGGATGGTTAAACTGAAAAGATACTTTGTTATAAGTGGTATAAATTTGAAATGCCATCTTGTTGATTTAACAAAACTCATTTGCTGTGGGATTTATTGAGAAGAGGGAACTAACTTTTATTTTTCCTTCCTTCCTCCTGTCATAGCAGCAAAAGAAAAATCACTGCAACTACAAATATAGACACAATTTCAGGACAAAACATCCAGGTAAGATCAAGAAAACAATAATTGATCTGTTTCAAACTAGCCTTTAAATTTTTTAAAATTAATTGTTGGCTCACGGTAATTTTAGAAGGCCCAGGCTGTGATTTATACCTGCTTGACATCATATTAAGATGCAAGTGAGGACTATTAAATATATTTAGTAATTAATTAGTTAATTTAACTAAATTAACTAATTTAAGTAAATTAATTTAAATCACAATTTGCTATGCCTTGACCTAGCCATCTTTTTTGGAATACAACATCTAGCAATGTGGTTTAACAGATAAAAGTGACTCTTGGTTTGAAAACAAGCTGCCATTCCCTGGTTATGCCAGGTAGTATGCAAGCAATTCTACCGTAATACCAAAGCCTGGAGTTGCTAAGTCACATCCAGCTCTGTGGGTTGCAAGCAGCACAGTTTCAGTCAACAGAATGCTTTTAGTCTCAAAGGCCTTATCTGATGGATCACAGTGAGATACAAGAAAGGAAGCTGTAAGGCTTAAGATGCAAGCTCCTTTTCTGAGTCAAAGGTGTACAAGTAGTCCTCAACTTACAACAGTTCATTTAGTGACCTTTCGAAGTTACGACGGCACTGAAAAAAGTGACTTATGACCATTTTTTGCGCTTATGACCACTGCGGCACCCTCCATGGTTACACAATTTATATTCAGATGCTTGATAACTGACTCACATTTATGATGGCTGCAGTGTCCCGGGGTCATGTGATCACTTTTGCAACCTTCTGACAAGCAAAGTCAATAAGGAAACCAGATTCACTTAACAACTATGTTACTAATTTCACAACTGCAGTGATTCAGTTAACAAATGTGGCAAGAAAAGTCATAAAATAGGGCAAAAGTCACTTAGCAAATTTCTCACTTAGCAACATAAATTTTGGGCTCAATTGTCATAAGTCGAGGACTACCTGTACTGGATTGTAGGCACCACACAGAAACAAGTATTTTGGTAAGAGCAGCTGCTGCCCTTTCCAAAGCAACAAGGGGACCCAAGCTTACAGTCATGTTAATAAAACAATAGACTTAATTATTATGCCATATTTATTAGCTGTTTCTTAGATTTTCTTCTTAGTACTCCCTCCTTCCTTTTTAATTAAACATCGTTTATTTAATTCTTGTAATAACTTTCAAATTTAAATACAGAATCTGATATGCTTTGTCAACCTGTTTCATAAAGGAAATAAGTGCAACAAGCAATCAAGGCAGAATAATCAACAGCAAGCTTGAAAAAAATAATCTTCCCATTAAATTGTTCAAGTTATTAATATTTATTGACATCTTAATTTTATCCATGTTATCCTTAATTTACAGTTTAAGTATTTTATACATTACCGTTACATAGGCTTGACTCTGCTTATTCTGATTTTGAGGTTTCTCCCTGTTGTTTATCATATTTCGTAGATACTTGCTGGGAATAATTAGTTAACATCTTTCCTTGAATAAATGAACACTTTTCTCCCATCATCAATATTTCCAAATGGAACGTAACCACCCACTTTTGCTTATGCTTTATAAATATGATGTCAAGTCTTTATGTTTCTTAAGCATGTTTTGTGACACCTCTAGTAATAATTTCAATATTTTTACTCACTTTTAGCAGAACAGTTTGCCACTTCAATGATACTACAGCCTCGTTATTTTTTTAAAAAATGTAAATTTCTTTTTTGGTCTACAGTGGAATTAATTCTAAATGCTTTTTGAATCTCTAATAATTCACCTGCATCAAAATCCAAATATTTTCTACATTTTGTCTTTTCATACGTGTTTTCGTGAAAATAAGCCCCAACTGGAAAATAAGCCCCAACTGGAAAATAAGCCCTAACATGATTTTTTGGGACGCTTGTAATATAAGCCCCACCCCAAAAATAAGCCCCAGTTAAGATTGTCAGCCAGATGGACGCATTTAGTACTGTATTTCTCCAAAAATAAGACCTAACCGGAAAATAAGCCCTAGTGCATCTTTTGGAGCAAAAATTAATATAAGAGCCGGTCTTACTTTCAGGGAAACATGGTATCTTCAAGTAAGCTTTCCCTTCCAAAATCTTCTTGTATTCTAAATTTCAAATTCTGTGCACAAAATTAAGATTCTACCATTTGTAACCACTTATATATTTTATTCCTCCGTCTTTGGAATTCTTTTTTTTTTCAAATGGAAATGGTGCATTTATTCTTTATCTGTGTCTGTATATTTTAGTAATTGGTCATGTTCATACATTCTTTTTCTCAAAGCTATAAATATTTTGTTCCTTTCAGTCATAAAATACTGTAATTAAATATCTGTATTTCCTTCTTTGCTGCAAATAGTTTTTGCATTTTTCCTTTGCTATGCTTCAATTTTTGTTGCTAATGTCATCATTTTTATCTATCTTGTTTTCAAGAACCTCTATTTGATTTGAAAGAATAGCTTTTAATTCTTTCATTGTAGACAGTGAAATGTCAACCTTGATTCTTGCTGACTTTTCTCCTTTCTCTCACCACCCGATTTGGAAGTTCTTGCAACTAGTGTTTTCCTGCTCATCAATAATTATTGGTTTCCTGCAATAAACAAAAAGCAAATCAGAAAGTTATCCCAATAATACCTCTTCAACCAGCAGGACAGCATCTGAAGTAACAATAATGTGGAATCCAATTTAATTTTTATATACCAGCATTTAAACATGAAATAATAAACAGTTTCAACAAGCTAAAAATGTAATGCATAATAACATGAAATTAGTATACGAAAGCTGTTAAGATGCTGCTTTAATTCATGTAGTTAATGTTAGGTGTTGAAGTTTCTTCAATATTTTTACTTCCTTCCTGATCAACTTTGAATGCTAGATTCAGCCTTTTAGTCATTCAATCAACTTTGTCACTTTTGCCACAACTTATGCTTTATAGCATGCCCACAATAGCAGTCAGCAAAGCTTCTTACTTATCACTGGAAACTGTATTTTATTAGAAAAGGAGCACTGCAGCAATTCAAAACTGCTGGGCCCTATAAATATATAAATCGATCCTCCAATGTTTTAATCATGTTATCAAAAGGTCACAGCTCAGGAATCCATGGCTTAACTTTTGTCTCTAATTCTGGAAGGAACTTTCCTATTGCTCCAGGCCTGTAGTTAGTCTGCCATAAGTAACACAAATACTGTGGCAGAAAATAAGAATCTGAAGACCTTTTACATTTGAAAGATGTTCCAATATCTCTCAATAAAGTGCCATTTTCAAATCCTCTACAACTTCAGGGCAGCTATACTTTCAATTATTCCAAACAAAATTGTTTTTAGATCTACGAATACTAGGATCGAAAAGGAATGAAAGAAAGAATAAAACCTCTTTTGGTAAAAAAAAAGAAAAAAAAAGAAAAATCAAAATGTATAGCCTACTACCCACAAAATGTAACTATGTTTGTGCATAAGGTATGGGGGTATAGTTTTCTAGGGCTGGAGGATGTTTAAGGAGAAGTCAAGATGTCACCTGTGTTATAAACATGGATTCAGTTAATTATAATGATTAGTATCTCAGTGTGTATTATAATTCAAAAATCCAATCATGTAAAGGTGATTTGTGCCATATTTTCCCTATCAAGTATAAGTCAAATACAAACTGTATATATAGAATGAAAAAAAATAGACAGGGTTATTAATGTTTCCTTGTTTAAAGAATGTTTCAGAATTTTATTCAGAAGATGTCATGCCTTTTCTTCTCAAAATGTTTTCTTGTTTTATAGGAAGATGAATTGGAACCATATGCTACCTTTGTGCAAGTGGAAAATGTAATCTATGATAAAGCATGTAATTTCTCATCAGGTTAACACTTATCTTTCATCTTCGACATTAGACATCATCAGATCTGAACTGAGAGGAGAAGTGTGTAAGGGAAAATGCATTAATTACAGTGAACGGCAACTTGTTTTTTTCTTTCATTTAATCATGTCCAGTTCTTGGAGATTGCCTGGACAAGTCCCTGCAGTTTTCTTGGCAAAATTTTTCAGAAATGGTTTACCATTGCCTTCTCAGAGAACATGTCTGTTCTCATGTTCTCAAGATTACCAAGCTGGCTTTATGCTGAAGGCAGGAGTAGAACTCAGTTTCTTGGTTTCTAGCTTGATGCCTTAACCACTACATCAGACTGGCTCAAAATGAATGGCAACGGCTGTAACTTTAAACCAATCTTGAACATGAGGACATTTGCATCAATAAATATCTATTTCTCTTTAAGCACCACGGATTCCTCTGAGAACCTTATTGGCCTCTTCTGTACCAGGAACTTACTTGTTCTCACAAAGACTAAAACATTTGTTTAGAAAGCTGATATGAAAGTCATAAAAAGCAGATATTCTTCTACCATCATTCTGCCTAAGAGTGAGCTTAATTTGAAGAATTCTGGGGATCAAGTTAACACAAGATGTTTATTCAAGAAGAATTTATATTGAAACCTGTCTTATTTCCTCTGTATGGATATGTCTAGCTCTTTATATTCACACACTTTGCAATCGAACATCTACAATTTCTAAGCATTAAATTTAGTTTGTTGTCTTTCAGAAGGCATGAAAAAAAAAACCTTACTGAGATTTTGTAGACCTTTGGACAGATTGTTTGATTTTTTACAGTGGACGAGATTGCTATTTGAAGTGATTCAATAAGCACACAGTGTATTTTAAATCAGAATTCCCCAACCTTTTTGGCTTTGCGGACCGGCCTGTGGTGGGGAAGAGGAGATGGCTCTGTGGGAGTGGTGGGCAAGTGCACGTGTGCACACAGTCCCATTCGCACAAGTGACAGGCAAGCACTCCTGCTGCTCACACAAATGGAGCATGCATGCCTGCGCTTGCCCACTGTTCATGCAAGTGGGGAAGCGTACGTGTGCCCATCACTTCCGCAGCTAGGTTTTGAAGGGCTCAAGGCCCGGTAGTGGGCCATAGTCTTGGTTTGGGGACCACTGCTCTAAACAGTGACTGTAAACTTGATATTTACAGTCAAAATAAAATAAATGAAGAAAGTGGAAAGAAAGCAGAATTTGGTCAAAACATTTTCCTTGATATTTGGTTTTGTTCTGGCATTTTTTGAAGTGTACATAAACACAAAACTAAATTAGATTAAGAGGAAGGCTTAGGTAATTACCCATTATATGTAAACACACATAAATAAACCTTAATTGGCATCTTTTGTAAGTTTTGACAGAATATGATTTTGAATGTACAGAAAGTTTATACAGTACAGAGAGCTCTAAGGGACGGGGAGGAGGTTTGTTTGGATTTAGAATTTAAACAAATCTTGCAAAGCAGTTCACCAATTTAAAAGGAAAATCTATTGGAAAAACATTTTCACAAACAGATACTTAAGCAGTTAAGGAAAATTGCACATACAATTCATATGATAAATGTGCAACTATCTGTGATCTAAATTTATAGGAGGAAAAATTAAAAACCAAAAGGAAGCAAAGGATATAGATTCACCCACTATTACTTTTCTCCCTCCTTTCACACACTGTTCAAAATGGTTCCGCAAATGACTTCTAGCCACTGGCTTGCTTTCTTCTGAAGTCCTTCTGGACAGATACAGATTTGAATTCTGGGAAGGAGAATGGCAGAATATGTGGGGCATAAAAAGAACAGCAAACAAAATTCAGTGGAGTTTAAGAGGAAAAGCAGCAATTTGAAATGCCAGCATATTGTTATTTGCCAAAATACTGTTGCTGTGGTTAAATTCAAATCTGAGCTTCTACAACACTGTATATCATATTTGACTGAAAAGGAGATTATTTTTTCTTTCCACAAATAATATGAATTACACAAATAATGTGTATGTCAAATTGAGTGGGAGAAAATCACTATTAGAAGCTTCAAATTATTAGGAGCCACTAGATGGCATATAAGCTCGAAGCTAATTAAATTGTGGGAAATTTTTCATGTAGTAAGACTGGGAAAAATGATCCTTCAGCTTTTTCTATTTCCTAGAGAACCTTTGAGAAAGAATTATGATATTTGTCCCCCTAACCACCGTTTTCCTTCATGATATCCTAGATACATTTGGCTATGAAAGCTGAACTTAGAAAGTAGCTTTATTTTAGTCATGGTGATATTGGTTATTAGTACACTGCAACATTTCTTTGATGGTATTAGCAAATCCATGAACCTCTCCTATGTGATATAGGAATATTACAGCAGTGATAATTCACATTAACGCTATAATCAGTGAATGACTATATGTTTCTCATGGAAACCAAAGTGTTTCAAATTGAGTTGATTTTTTTTTAAAATTAATATCTTGCAGTTGCAAAATTACTCAGCATTATGCTTTGTAGGAGAATGTGTCATTTTTTCTTGTTTTTACTTTTTAGAGGAAATGCAATAAATGATGAGTGATTTTCCTAAAATCAGACAAATATCTGTGGAAGAAACAGGGGCTATAGATACCCAAACATACATTATATATATATATCCATGACAAAATAAGGGGGAATTCCATTGTTACATAGCAGCATAGCTACCATGAAGAACCAGGAGTCTCTGTATTTCTGTTTAGGAAGAGAGGCACCATCTTGATAATCCAACAGAGTGGCCAATAGTAAGAGATACCATAAGTGACAACCAAAGGTGTCCAAGTCATTTACACTGTGATCCATTCATTGCCTTGTTAAAACATCTTTTTGCAATTTAATTTAAAATTATTATCAATTAGTTCGAAGAATTTTTGTGAAGCAAAAGGTAGGATATTACAAGCATGCACCCCGTTTCTGAATAGTAAACCAATGATACAGGTAAACCTTGACTTATAACCACAATTGAGCCCAGAATTTATGTTGCTAAGTGAGAAATTTGTTAAGTGAGTTTTGTCCCATTTTACGACTTCTCTTGCTACATTTGTTAAGTGAATCGCTGCAGTTGTTAAATTAGTAAAATGGTTGTTAAGTGAATCTGGCTTCCCCATTGACATTGCTTGTCAGAAGGTTGTAAAAGATGATCACATGGCACCAGGACACTGCAACCGTCATAAATATGAACCACTTGTCAAGTGTCCAAATGGGGATGCTGCTGTGGTTGTAAGTGTGAAAAGTGGTCATATGTCACTTTTTTCAGTGCCATTGTAACTTTGAACGGTCACTAAATGAACTGTTGTAAGTCAAGGACTACCTGTACTCAGTTTACCATCAGATTTCTAGGTAAATTTCATGCCCATGAAGCAATGAGCAGTTTCTGTACCTTGTCTGCCTCTATATGCTTTATGCTACCTGCCCATTCAGGCTCTTTCCACAGTATCATCCTTTATTAGACCTCCTATCATCTACATGTAACTATTTTGAAAAAAAAAAAGAGGTCATCTTTCAGGCTTAGCACATGGAAAGGCTCCCATAGCCGAATGGAACATGAAGCCAAATGCAACTTGGGCTATCATGATTTGAAACCCATCAATGTTCTACAAATTTCAGTACAGATAGTCCTCGACCTGCAACAGCTCATTTAATCACCATTCAAAGTTACAACAGCACTGAAAAAAGTGACTTATGACTGTTTTTCAGCATCACTGCAGCACCCCCATGGTCTCATGATCAAAACTGGCAACTGATTCATATTTATGAAGGTTGCAGTGTCCCTGGGTCATGGGATCATTTTTTTTGTGACCTTCTGACAAGCAAAGTCAATGGGGAAACCAGATTCACTGAACAACCATGGTACTATCTTAACTACTGCAGTGATTCATTTAACAACTCTGGCAAGAAAAGTTGTAAAATGGGGCAAAACTCACTGTCTCGCTTAGCAACAAAAATGTTGCACTCAATTGTGGTGGTAAGTCAAGGACTACCTGTACTTTGTTTCTTTTTAAATTGGAGAACTGCATTGCAATTTTCTGTGAATTTTAAAGGGGAAATTATATATTTGAAACTGTAGAATTAGAGTAAATTCACATTTAAGGACAATAAAAAAACACAACCCTATTACCTAAAGCAGGCATGTCAAACTCACGACATCACATGACGTCGCACGACGTATCAGGACTTTTTCCCCCTAGCCAGCAATGGGGTGGGCGTGGTTTTGGCATGATGAATCCGGCCCACAGGCCGGCAGTTTGACATGCCTGACCTAAAGGATTAGGTATCTCCACTGCATCTTTTTCTACAACTCTACATCCCAAAAGATACTTTTCAAAACAGATCTTCTTTACAAAAAGATACCTCTGATTAATTTGCATGTAGTGTTTCATTAGCCATAGCCTTCCAACTAATAAAATCTAGGCTAACCTACTAGAGCACTTTAGAAATTACCAGGAGTTTTGCCTTCCTTCTGTTTTTTGGCTTATACATAGTTGCCATTATGCTTGCTTGTTCTTTAAGACTGTGCACATCAAATTGAATCTATTGCATGTTTGTCAAATTGTTTTTAAAGGTAGCAGTGCTTATTTGTTGTACTCAGGGCTCTGGCAAAGCATGAAAAGAAATCTTTAGAAAGCTGTAAGTAATTCACTGACGCCAAATTCTTCCTTAGCTCAAATGTGCTTATTTAGGCAGTCTATCCAGAACCTTGTGAAATCTCAGTAAGACTATTGCCCTGTTGAAAAACAGAACACTAAATTTAATCCTTGCAAAGATTAAAAGTTTTTATGAAATTGTTTGAACACAGAGGTATAGACATAGTCACACACGAGATGTAAAAAGATGTCATCATGAATTATTCTGGACATGTACATTTTACCCCAGTGGAATTTACAGCTGTATAAATCTGAACATGAGCAAATGGTGGTACTCCCCTTTCCTTGCCTGAGGGTTGCCATTACATATTTTTAAGTGCACAGCTGCAGAAACTCTAACACAGCTTGCTTTTCTGCCTTCTGGATTTACAGTATGAAGAAGTAAAATTCAGATGAAGAGTCCAGGAGATGCCAGAGAAGGTTGAAGCCCGCATGCAAAGTATTTAATGCAGCTGTATCACAAGCATGCCAGGCTTTTTAAAGTTGAAGCAAATGTGTGTGTTTTTCCTCCGACTATTTCATGAATTTTTTGAAAAATTTGATTTTGTACAGAATTGTGAAAACGTGTAGGATCAGTGAAAGTGATTAAGATAAACTGCACGTAAAAGAATAACATATCCTCCTTGCAAAAATGCCAGAAACAAACAAACAAAATAAAAAAAAACAAAAAATACTGTCTGGATGAAACAGAACAATCGTAACTTTAAGACTCATTCAGAAATCTGTGCTTAATGTTAATTTAATAAAGCTGCATTTGATAGACTTTCTCCTAGCATTTTAGCCTATAAGTGTTATACCCATTAATAATGTTTATAATTGCAGAAATCTATTTGCTTTTTAAGACTGTAATTCCAAGTGATATTTGCCATTTTTATGCTTCTATTTGTGCTGTTATATATGTCAAGCTTAACAATATAACTATATGATCACCAAATCCCCCTCTAAGAACTAGCTCAGTGATGACAAACCTTTTAGAGACCGAGTGCCCAAACTGCAACCCAAAACCCACTTATGCATCGTCGAGTGCCGGGTGGGTGTGGCCCATTGGCTGGGTGTGGCCAATTCAGTGTGCGTGGCCCATTGGGTGGGCGTGGCTTCGGTGGTAATGGCAGACTGGGTGGGATTAAAAAGTTCAATCAATCAATTCCAACTTTGCAAGATCTTTTTTTTTTGCCACGAGAAGTTGAAATTGACTGATTGAACCTTTTTTTTTTTTTTTGCACACAGCGGCGGAGGCCTAAAGCGAAAAGGTTTTATAAAACCCAGCTGAAGGCCTAGGACTGGGGCGACGGCGCGAGTGCCCACAGAGAGAGCTCTGAGT